TGCTTGTCCATCTCCACCATTATCAAATCAAAGAACTTAATTTGAAAGTCGCGAACGAGGCTCTTTGGAATTCAACAGTGTGGCCATTCTCATTTTCCTGGACATGTCTGCTGAGGTGGCGAGGCAGTACTCCGAGTTCAAAGCTTCACTTTGCAGTGCTAGCGTAACCTATGGCATGCTAAATCTTGCTAAACTATGCATCGATTGCACAGGACAGCTGCATTTCATCCAAACCCCACAGGTTACGATGGAATTCTTCACTGCTAACATCAAGAATGCAGTAAATCAGGTTTGAAGGACAAAACTGATCCAAATTAAGAACTGTAGAAAAGCAAACGCGATAAAAGTCAATGATTACAAGTTTCCAACATCTTTTAAAATATGTTCTGACAGAAACAAGAAACTCAAACCAGTTTGGAACAAGTGAAGAGTGAATAAATTATGACGGAATCAGTTGAGCTGGTAACCTAATACATAACATAGATAAGTTTATTGCATAACAAGCCAAATATGCACTATATGTGTTATCTTTGGATACAGGAGAGAGATTCTGCAATTTACTGTATCCATCTTTTGACACTTATTTGCCTTAAACAGCGTTCTTTTGAGCTTCTGAAATCGGTAGATCCCACAAAGTGATGGTTGGCCTCTCTGAAGATGCTCCCAAGAGTTTCCTCCTCCTCTAAGCTGAGGGTTTTATGGGATGACCTTTTCTAGACAGCATCTATGTGGTTTGATGTAGCTTCCATTTCACGATAATTCAACCAATAATGTCTCCAGAGGCATCATAGATATATTCCAACCCGTTTCTTTGCTTTTGAAATATTTATCTTCTTTTGGAATTTGTTTTAGTCTTCACAGCTTTCGATTTCGCACTGCCTAGATCTTAAAAATCAAGCAAGTGTAAATGCTATGATTTACAGAGAGTGGACATTTTCAAGAACTTATGAGTTTCTATAATATCATGAATACTAAAAAAAGGGGTTTGCATATTTGCTCCTCCAGGCTGCCAGTGTATATGCAACCAACAGAGCCAAGATTCATTTCTTATTAACTAAATGTCATTAAAAACAGATATATTCAGTGTCCATTTCTCAAGTAACATCACAGTTCCCATTTAAAAATCCATGTTGAAAAGAGGCATATTTATCTGTGCTTTCACATGGGTGCTAATAGGCTCTTAAAAAGTCTCTCATTACTTTCTCATATTGAATTCTGTTCAAGTCCATTTCTGGGCTGTCAGAAAGTTAATCAAAGCTTTGTTTCTGTGCGGTGCGCCTGCATAATCCATGTGGCGCTCCACTATTAGGAGTGAGGCACTTCAGATGAGATGTTTTGATCCTCATCAATCATCGCTTTCTATCCATTCAAATACTGACGCTCGTGTCCTAGGCCAATTAAAGGAACAATTAAAAGGAAATCCCTCCAGAAGGAAGAAAAAGTTTCTCTCGCCTTCAGTTTCTCTTGGAAGAAGGTGCTTCTGATGCTGGACGGGCAGTCGCTCTGGCTGCCAACGCAGAGAAATGATACTGACACATGAAAGGCTTGCAGTCAATGATTAGCGAGATGGGCTACGGATCAATTTGGCCTGCCGCAGACTTTAAAGCCTTTCGCTATGCTAATCAATGAAAAACTGCCTGCTCGTTAATGCATTCAAAGATTGATGGAAAACAAATGGCTGCCTTTAACATCGTCCCTCATCAGCCCTCCTGTGGTGCTGCCACACAGACACACTCACGCATGTTTTAATTTTTATTAGGTCGTCCCATAGACATAATGATTTTTACACTGTACAGACTGTATGTTCTGTACTCTTAACCCTGCCACTTAATCTAGCCATCAGAAAACATTCTGCATTTTTACATATTCATAATACTTAATTATGCATGATTTATAAGCCATTTTCTTCAGAGATCAATACCATTACAACAACAAAACAAATAACCCCACAAAATATTACTGGTATTACTTTGGAGATTTAGTCCCCATAATGTGATGAATACCAGGACCACACAGACACACATTGTTTTCCCCCTATACTGATTGTAACTGTATTGTTTTCTGTGTCATTTGTAGTGTTTTACTGTTGCCTCATCTACATTTGCTTTATATTTTCGTTTACTATAGTAGAGTAGCTTCAGGACACATTTTATTTTTGATTGTTTGTTTGTTTGTTGGTGGTTTATTTGCCATCTTGGCTGATGACATGAGATCTCAAGAGGGTTCTTGTTCTTGTTTCTGAAGCTTGAGCTGAGTTGAGCTGTCTTTTATCATTGCACCCAGAAGATTCAACTCTTAAATTTAATTTAATTTAACTGCTGCCTAATTTAATTTTATTGTATTATTTTTAATCAATTTAGATTTTAATTTAATTTAATTTAATTGCTGCCTAAGTTAATTGTATTATTTTTAATTAATTTTGATTTTATTTTATTTATATTATTATTATTATTATTAGTAGTAGTAGTAGTATTTTATTTTACTTTTTATTTTATCTTTATTAAATCTTTTTATTTAATTTTATTTCAGAATGGTTTATATACCATACAGAATATAGTATAAAACAATATAAAAGTGAAAAACATATAATTTTTAGAAGACCAGTGAGTAAGATTTAAAAAGAAATTGAAAAAGATTCTTAGTAATATATATATGAGTTTTTTTTATAACATAATATAATTTTTACATGATATAGAATTAATAAAAGAGTGGGTCACACTTTGCATAAAGGTTTCATTAGTTAATGCAAAGGGCGAGGCAGTTGCGCAGTAGGTAGTGCTGTCGCCTCACAGCAAGAAGGTCACTGGTTCGAACCTCGGCTCAGTTGTCATTTCTGTGTGGAGTTTGCATGTTCTCCCTGCCTTCGCGTGGGTTTCCTCAGGGTGCTCTGGTTTCCCCCACAGTCCAAAGACATGTGGTACAGGTGAATTGGGTAGGCAAAATTGTCCGTAGTGTATGAGTGTGTGTGTGTGAATGTGTGTGTGGATGTTTCCGAGAGATGGGTTGCGGCTGGAAGGGCGTCCACTGCTTAAAAAACTTGCTGGATAAGTTGACGGTTCATTCCGCTGTGGCGACCCCAGATTAATAAAGGGACTAAACCGACAAGAAAATGAATGAATGAGTTAATGTATTTACTAACATGAACCATAAACAATGCTTGTAAAGCATTTATTAATCAACATTTAACATTTACTTATGCATTGTTAACATCCAGTTTCATGCTTGTTAACAATAGTTAATGCACCATGAGTTAAATAGTGAACAACTGTATTTTCATTAACTAACATTAAAGGTGCAGTAGATGATCTGAATAAATGCTAACTGTTAGCATAACTTCTTTAAAATAGTCTCTTCACTGCCATCCAAAGCCACGCCTCATAATATCATGAACGTGCACCGTAAAGATGACAGTAGACAACTCACTAGTTCTTGTCATTCTCCAGTTAGAAAACTTTATAGTACTCTATAATTGTACAATTATGAACAAAAACTGTATTATATCTAACATGTTGTGTAGCAAACAAAACATAATGTGCAGTATTTTTAATGCTCGCAGTGAACGCTGTTCTTACTTTCTTACACACTTTGTCCTAAAGTGACTACCGTATGCTTAGTGGTTGGCTGGTGGCGTGCAGGAATTACACTTATTACTAACCCATACTTGCATGCTATTTCAGACAGAATATTCAAAGTAGCATGGTAAACAATATAAGGAGCGTGACATTCTCATTGTTTTAAAATGAAGCAGTGGGAATATAAAACCAACTTTAGCTCAGTAAAGCAGGCTAGGCGGAATACCTCTATTTACTTTTGTTTTGTTGTTAAACAAAATAAAAATCTACATTACTGATGCTGTAAAAGGTCCCTTATGAATCAGAAAATAGTCACATGAATCTTCCGCTGGAAAATTTCAGTGGCTGAACAACACTTCTGTGCATATAACCCTTCATAACAACAAAATCTACATACTGTAAGCTTTGTGTGACTAAAAGGGTTTTAAAACATTACATTACCTGTCTAAAGTCATCCTTCCTCCAGCGTGCAAAAGTAACTCCAGTATTAATTCAGCATTTTAAAGTTTTGATTCATCAATTGTTTTTACTGGTGCCACTCTCTCTGTCGTTTACAAGTGAATGCGTGCACACAAACGACAGATCTGCATGAATGGATGCACAGATGTACAAATCTACATTTGTTGACAGACAGTTTGGGCTACTTATCAGAATAATGGGAATTATCGTTTCAACATTCTTTAATTGGATGAACATTTTATAGTTTTATGCCTTACCCAGAATATAAAAATACATATCAATACATTTAGATCATTTACTTCAATCTGTACTATTGGAAAGTGAAGAGGCTTTCAAGCAGCACAATAAAAAGGTTTCTGAAGACCTACTGCACTTTTAACTACTACTATATGAACAAATATTGTAATAAATGTATTGTTCATTGTTAGTTTGTTAATAAATGCATTAACTGATAGTAACTAATGCAACCTCATTGTAAAGTGTGTTAGAATTAGAAAGTTAAAGCAGTTATTTGTGATATGAAAGAATAGAATATAAAGTGTTCGTGTTAGATAACCACAAACTTTTTTTTATTTGTTTTTTCATACTTCTTTTGATTTTGAGATGGACATCGCTGAAAAACTGTGTGAGTGTGTCACATTGATTTGCTTCAGTGAGCTGATTCAAGAACAGATGTTGCTACTGTCAGGCTGAATCAAATCATTAAGTCACCCAATTCATGAGTCTTATCGCTTTAAAACGAGACCAAACCAGAACACTCTGCACTGAATCATGCAAGTCCTAGCTTTATGTGCCTGCTCAAGTCAGTTATTGAGAATACAATTGCTTTCTTACAACTCCAAATAATTATCAAAGTGTAAATCCTCCCTCATCTATTATTCAAATCTTAAAAAGCTTTTCTAGAACGCCCAGCTAATCCTACAGCTGTGACCTCTGACCTTGAACCACTGCCCTTTGCCTGTCCCGCAGGAGCAGAGCCCCAGTAACCAGACCTCTTTGGCCATGATGCAGGAGCCACAGGAGGTGGTGGAGGAGACCGTGACCATAGAGGAGGACCCCGGCACACCCACCTCGCATGTGTCTGTGGTCACCTCTGAGGACGGGACAACACGCCGCACAGAGACTAAGGTATTCATCCTTATAAGTGACACATTCAGAAGGGATGTATGATTTAAAAATACAGTTGTTTATATATTATGTTTATGATAGGTGATGGTAATAAGGATGGCAATACACAAAAGTGCTCATTCTGGATATCTGACAAGCATGTTCTTTAAAGAGAATCGTCCCCCTCTTATGCTGGGTTCATTCCAAATGCAAATTTAAGTATTTACAGATGAATTCAAAATGATTAGCCCTCCTGTAATTGTTTTTCTTTTTCAAATATTTTCCAAATGCTGTTTAACAGAGCAAGGAATTTTTTTACAGTATTTCCTGCAATGTTTTCTCTTCTGGAGAAAGGCTTATTTGTTTTATTTTGGCTAGAATAAAAGCAGTTTTTAATTTTTTAGAAACCATTTTAAGGTCAACATTATTAGCATCCTTAAACTATATATTTTTGATGGTCTACAGAACAAACAATTCTTATACACTAGCCTTGTTTCCATCCGAAAATGTGAATTAAATTTATGCGTAAAATTTATATATCTTATAAAAGGCGTTCGAATAAAGCAGCGTGTCCATCCAACGAGTCAAAGATAACAAAATCGTCACTTCCTGATTAACTGGCGCCAAATATCAACAGTAAAAAGAAAATTTGCTGGGGTTGGAGAAGCTGAGCAAAACTTTTCTTTATTTAATAAATTACTTCTCAAAAGACAATGCCAACACGCAATGAACACTTGGTGGCGTTGAAGCCATAAGACGCAGAGCACAGACGCTCTTGACAGTTCTGGAGGTTATTAAAAATTTAACACTAATACTGAAATGGTTAAGGCGTTTCAGAATGACCAAAGCAACATTTCAGATGTTTTACAATGTGCTCAGCCTGCTGGTTTGTCCATTCACACATTTTTATCATCACAAAATCACTTATAACAATCTCATGACTTTTTTTTAATGCTCATGGTGGAATTTGTTTGTTAAAAGTGTTTCCATTATAGTTTATGCCATGTTTTCTTATCGAATAAAACATTTATTCTACATAGTTATGAGCATATGCTTTTATGAACATTTTCAAAATTGATGCAAATCTTGTCGTTTCCAACAACCGATTTTTTTCTTGCGCATATTCAAAATGCGCATAAAAATAGATAAAAACATAGCTACAGACTTGCCTAATTACACTAAAGCAGGTCGCACACCAGAAGCGCCACTCGGCGCCGCGACACGGCGCGCACATGACAGTTTTAAGTATCGCACACAAGACGCGCACATTCGAATGATATTTAACATGAAACTAATCAGATGGCGCTCTGTGGCGCGGCTGGAAAATGAACTGTGTCCTGAGCCGTCGCGGGGCGCCGCCGACAGCCGCCGACTTGCGGCGCCGGTGTGTGCATCCTTATAGAAACCTATGTTTAGAATTCTAAAATGCATGGCGCTGCGTGGCGCTGCGCGGCGCACCGCCGAGCGCCGCCGAGCGCCGCTTCTGGTGTGCGACCTACTTAACTTGTCTAATTAACGTAGTTAAGCCTTTAAATTGGACTTAATTTAATACTAGCTTAAGCTTAAGCTGAATACTAGTATGTTGAAAAATATCTAGTAAAATATTATGTACTGTCATCATGACAAAGATAGAATAAATCAGTTATTAGAAATAAGTTATTAAAACTATTATGTTTAGAAATATGTTGAAAACAATCTTTAATCCGTTAAACAGACATTGGGGAAAAAATATACAGGGTAGCTAATAATTCTGACTTCAAATGTATGCAAGAAAATTACATACAGTTTCAATACAAACTTGTAATCCGTGATGGTGTGATGATTTTGGAGTGAACTCACGGAATTTGCCTCAATAGCTGTGTACTTTCAAAAATTCCACTCGAGGTAAAAAAACATCTGGAGTAAATTAGAGCGAGTGACACGATGATAATGTTCTATGTATGTTGGGTCCCAGCATAAGAGATGAGGTATTTGATACTAAACGCAACATAAATGTTATGTTAGAATTTACTCAAGTTATTCATGCATTGTATGTACAATTATAGTACAAATTATTAATATTATGGATATTTTACATAATAGAAAAATGTGTGGTTACACTCAAAAAAAGATGTTTCTTCAAACTGCGTATTTAAAAATTAGCTGAAATGACATATCTCTTGAGTTTTTTGGAGGGACAAATTATTTGTTTGACGGTATATTCAATCAAAAGTTAATTTATAACACAAATTGCTTGTATGGAACCCAGGATTTTACATTTCAGTGTATATAAATCAGTGTTATTTTAGTATTAGTACTGTCCTGTTTTAATGTTTGTTTATTTTGCTATTGTTTATGTTTGTCATTTTAGTTTTAGTAATTGTTTGTGCCTTTTTTACGTTTTTATTAGTTTTGTTTTTAAATAGTTCTGAATAAAACTATTTTAGTAAAAAAAAAAATTGTTATTTTTAAAATAACGCTAAACTTTAATTGTTTTAGTTAGTTCACAAGTCAATATTTATTTATTTTTAATATATTATTTTCTAATATTTTTGTCTCACCTCTTTTAGTTATTTTAGTTAATGGATTTTCAAACAATTAAAATAACAACACTAGCAAAAAGCCTTTTGTCCAGATTAGTGGGCCATGTTGGTTTAGGTTACAGTACTGTTAGTCAATTGCTTCCAGATCAATCTGGTGTTCTATTTTACCCAATCAGCTGTTTAGTGATGAGACAAAGGGATTAACATGACATACCGGTACTTATTTATCATTTACAGCTCAGCTCTTTTATACCAGAGTTACTAATAAATGACTTGAATGTGTTAGACTTCAAAAACCTGAACAGTTTTACTCCTAAAATTCAATAAAAAACTTTCTATGTAATAACAATAGGGCTGTATAGATCCATCTGTTTGCAGGTATGTTGTACTTTTGAAAGTCACACACTCTTGATACGCCTTTGCTTTTGTTTTGTTGTTCCTAAAAGGACAATGTGACTAATATGAAGGTGAGTTAAAATCTCTCCCTCACATACGCTTTCTCACACACGCCTCTTGTCAGTCACCATTATTTGTGCCCATTGAAGCTCAACAATGCACAGCATTGCAGCGCTGGTGTGAAATCACTGCATAAAGCTTCGATTGGCAGAGCGGTCACCTCTTAACACCCTTTACTGCTACAGTCCTGCCCATACATCTACTCACCCCTTGCAGATTCTTATAAATATTTCACCTTTTTTTTAATAATAGCAAGGAAAATTTATGAAAATTTCAATTTTTTGTTTAAATGTATTTTTATTTTTGTTATTATTATTGTTTAATGCATTCCTGATGAGGCTATGGTTATGTCAACTGAATGAGCAGAGTTAATGAGAAGATGCGGTTTTGCCATATTGTTAGATGCGGTATGTCACACTGCTAATTAGCGACTGTGACAGGTGCGCTGATGGCTTGTCATGGAAATGTTGACACTGAATGTTACTCACTGTGTGCACACAGAACTTTTGTTTTGAATACACGTGAACTAAACAGAGATTACCATGCACATAAACACTGCATTTTTTGAACTGAGGAAAAACTTACTGTGCTGAGGAAAAACATACTGTACTGTATGTAAATATGCTGTAGCTAGTCACTGAATGATATAAAAAGGAGTCACGAAATGCAGATTTTTAAGTGTATGTAATTATTTATTAAGGTTATTTTATGAAGTTTCACTGAAAAAAAAAAAACATTTAACTTATTTTGTCTTTGCCATAATGACAGTATAAACTAAATTACTAGTTTTTTTGCAAGATACCATTGTTCAGATGGAAAAAAGCACAATTTTAAGCCGTAGGTTAACTAGGCAAGCATTTAGACAAGTCATTGGACAACAGTGGTTTGTTCTGTAGCCAGTCGAAGAAAACAATTTCTTAAGGGGGCTAATAATATTGACTTCAGCCATTTTTCATTCATTCATTTTTCTTTGGCTTATTCCCTGTATTCATCAGGGGTTGCCAAAGCAGAATGAACCGCCAACTTATCCAGCATAACTTTTACGCAGCGCATGCCCTCTTAGCAGTTTTTACAACATTATTTTGTATTCTGAAGTAGGACTGTGCACTTTGGCGAAAATATTTAATTGCGATATTGTTTTAACAGATATTATGCTTTTTTTAAATTTGCGATTTAATTTTGTAGTCAAGCTTCAGCTCAATAATTTGTATAAAATGCAGTGAGTGTTAGTTAAAAAAGCAATTGAAAAGATATTAACTTTCTTAAACAAATATTCAAATTTTTTTATATTTAGAAATGAAACCCTCATTTTCTCTAGAGCAAACAGTAAACAAATAAAATGACCTTACCTTTCTGTAAAACTATTTGAACTCAAATTAGGGAGATAAAGTGTAGCTTATTATAAAAACAAAAATCTATATAATTGTAAAAATACAGAACACTCAACAAACTAACATGGCTGAAACAACTCTGAAATTGTACTTTGCTGTTGCTTGCTACTAGATTGAGTGTCACTGGAGACTCTTTCAGTTGACTTTAGCAAGACACTCATTGCTCAGTTGGATAGTAAGACTATCACACACAGATGGCAGTCACGCATTAGCTATGATCAGAGGAAATTACATAATATATATATATATTTCATATCACAGCCTCTTGTGATTAGGTAATCGCAATGTTTCAAATCGCGATTGCGATTCGATTTCGATTAATCGCACGGCTCTATTGTGAAGCAATGAGAAATTCTTCATGCAGACAAGTTCACGACTCGTGTTTAGAATAGTTCTCTTAAACTAGCCGACATATTATAACTTTAATTAAAAATCAATTTTAAAATCTGTTCGATGCAGGCTTAAATGCCATGAATAAATTTGTAAGTTAATTCTTTAGTTTCATAGATTTAGTAGGACTATTTCAGGAACGATTTTTTTCATTTCATAATAAATTGTTATAGTATAACTTATAAAGTGAATTTGTAATTCAAATTATGTTCAGAGCTCCTAGTTTAAAATTATAAATTATAAATAATAACTTATTGAAAGCCTATTAAAATTTAATTAAAAAAACTGTACTGAAAGGAAAAAGCACAAGACAGAATGCCGCTTTGGAAGAGAAACGTATTTTATCAAAGTGAGTTAATTTTAGACAATTATTTAAGATTTTTTAGTTTCAAAAAAATTTTTTTGAGTAAGCCTACTGGAGAAATTTTATGTCGGTGCGGGATCTGAGCTTAGCTCAGCTCCACTCACATGCTCTGGCTGCTACAGTATATCAATTCAGTATGTTCACTATGTTACAAACTGCCCCCTGCTGGCCATGTATTTCTTGCATTGGACCATGTTGTGCTGTGTCGCGCATTACCGCAGTATCGTGCGACACCACTTTAGATCCATCGTGCATTCTGAGTAGCTGTATCCGTAATATCTGTATCACAAATTGCATACTTGTGCACTATTCCATGCCATTTTGTGATATTTAATGTAATGGATTTACACTAAAAATAAAATTAAAAACTAGAATCATAAAAGAACAAGTGCACTTTTAACAGCTGGATGATACACTTATTCAATCATTAAAAAATAAGAGCATAACACACACGGCAGAAGGGGCAGAGCTAAAAGTTGGATTACTTTATTTATTTTGGATTGTGCAAGCAAAACTATTTGGAAGTATTTTTGGTAGTAAATTGGTAGTAATTTATTTGGTCATTTTAAAATTTTTCCTTGATTTGGCAACCTTTAAAAGATGCCTGGAAAACGATTTTAATTTATGTTTTCTAAAAAAAATCGTTAGTGTTTTATTTGGGACGACACTAAACTCAACACTCATTTGATTGTATAAGTGCATAACATAAGTCTATAGCATATACCTGCACAGTGTATAGAGGGTCATTTGGCATGCAACTACTGTGACAAATTTACTTACTCTGTTAAACATCAATTTTATTTGCAAAAACTTCACAGGAGATCTAATAATTTTGTCTGTATTTATTTAACCAGGAATGTCAGGAATGAGATCCAAACCCTTCATTTGTTCGGTCCCTATCCCAATCATAAACCCCATCCCATTCTGGTTGCAAACTCAAATTTATATCTGCCTTTATGCAGTAAACAACTGATGGATAAAATGAAGTTGTCCTATTTTTCTTTTTTAACAATCTGTTTCGCTCGGATATGCATAACAATATTAAAGTTCTTCTGTTACATCACAACTTAAAATTTATGTTAATGCATTTCTTCAGGCCAGAACAAATTGCACAACAAAAGCGTATTATGATCGCTCTTATATTTCAAAAAATGCTAAACATCTTACCCTCCCAAGGGGAATGTAAACAGAAAAAGGATTATGTAGAGTGTACAAAACATATCAGTGTGCACACAAAAACAAACAGCTACCGAAACAGTATTCAAGCATTAACCAATGTGCAGATAGAAACGGCTCCGTTTTGACAGCTGATAGATAGTGAGAGGAAGAGAAGCGTACAGTAAGATATTGCTGCTGCTGCTGCACTGTCTCCCATCATTAAAACCACTCACATACCACCAAACCTATGAAACACACTATGAAATAACATCAGCAAATGTGAGGTGCATGTGTGCACACGTGTGGATTATAGTCTCACAAATGCAGTTCTGCTAACACACACATACTGTATGTTTTATACCAAAGATGGTGGCTTCATGTTTATTCAGTTCAGTTCAATTCCTCTTTATTTAGATTCTAAGGCAATGTAAAAGCTAAAGCAGCTTAACATAGATGAAGAATGATCATGTTTATCATAACATCATGTTTTCCACAACATCAGATCTAATGATCATATTATGCTGAACTAGATAGATAGATAGATAGATAGATAGATAGATAGATAGATAGATAGATAGATAGATAGATAGATAGATAGATAGATAGATAGATAGATAGATAGATAGATAGATAGATAGATAGATAGATAGATAGATAGATAGATAGATAGATAGATTTTATTAGATGCCATTTAATTAGATGCTGTTTAATTTGCAGAAGATTGTGGAATATTATATGCAGCATAGATGGATTCCACTTCCATGTTTTCAGTGAATGTCCATTGGCGGAAAAAAAATGCCTTTGCTAAGGTTATTTTGGAATAGTGAAATTATTTTAATGTTTAAAGTGTATTGACATATAAATTTACAGTAAATTAGTTGATTGGTGACTAGAAATGCCTCAGATTGGTTTAAATGTAAGTGAGCTTGCATGTAGGAGCCTCAGATGTGTTTGTGTGTAAATGAAAGGGTTAGTTCGCTTAAAAATTGAAGTTCTGTTAACTTTTGATGGCGTTTAAGTCTGTTATTAACTCATGATGTACTCTAAAACTTATAATGCTTGATCTGTCAAAACTAAGTGAAAAGAGTACAGAGATGTTTTAAAAAGTCTAATAATTAATAATCAGCTTCATGTACCATACCGCAGTAACTAGCTGCTAAGAAGAGTCTTCATTCCAGTATATAAGAACAAATGCCATTCTGTATTAATTCAGCATGGATCACAGTATTTATTTTTCAAATACTGAGTGAATCTGTATTTTAAGGGACAGATGGCAATCCTATGAGCATAAGATATGGTCACAACATCTAGATTGACCTTTATGCATCATCGCCTTATGCCCTTGTACATGCTTTTACAGGTAACCCTGTTCTTGATCCACACTTAAAGTAGCCTGCTACTGTACCTGTTAATTACTGGTAATGTTACGACTTCTCAATCTTAGAGAAAAGATCACTCGAGTGGTAGATATACACTTTAGATAGTATGCATGCTAGATAGAAGTGATAGATCTGAGTGTCAAACATATACAGAAACCCAGTACTTAAACCTTTGTACAGTTATCACCTCTAAATGGTGCAAACTGGTGCCTCTATAGAGGGAACTAAAGTATATTAGTTCATAAGTGCTATGTATTAGTCTATATATTACCATGTATTTTGAAAAGATATCACCCCTGTGAGACATTTTGTATATTCTTTCTTAGAATGTACCAGAAAATAGCAAATTCACCAGTATTTTTGAAAAGGTTATGTTTACACATGATCTCCTAATGGTAGCTTGCCAGTAATATAGCAGTAAAGACTGTATATGTGAAGGAGACTCGTGTGTTTCTTTCTTCCATTTCTGTCGATTTCCTTCTCTTGGAAATTGCCCAGCAAGATGAATATTCTATTAAATGCAGAAATTACTCTTTTGTCAGAGACAAAACGAGACAATAAAAAACAATAATATTTTGTCCCAAAGGCATTCTTGTGTTATCCTGTTTAGCCAGATAATTTATATTCACAAAATTAATTCTCTGGCCCAGTTTGTGTTTTGGTCTTTTCTGGACTATTAACAAAACTTCATGGGGAAAAGGCCTACTTTTTAAACAAGCTTTTATTTAGCTCATTCCCTTTCACTGTTATAAGACTTGACATTTCCATTTTCATACAGCTGTCTGTACCTGTCTGACTCATTCCTCCTGAACTGACATGCTTTCACTATAGGTCACCAAGGTGGTTAAAACCATCACACGCCGAACCTTCCAGCCGGTGATCCTGACCGAGTCCAAACCATCCACTCCTGTTCCTCCATCTACACCAACACCATCTGAGACCAAACCAGTAAAGAGTGTTTCTGCTTGATGTGTCTCCTCCATCCTTCATCTCACTAACTCTATAACTCATGGCTGGTGTGGCAGCGCTCTGTTAAACTAAACACCAGCGAGATCATAAAACCCTTATAGAACTGTAAAATCTGACCATGACGCCTGCATGCACCTTTTTAAACGGCCCACATTAGTAAACACAGTCGTGCCTGTAGATAGACACCTTTCATTAGAGGCAGCAGTAGCCTTGGTGGTTAAACTCAGTCTAAATATAAACCTCAGTGTCTTTTAACCTTTTTGAATATATTTAAACTAGCTGCGTTGCACACACAGTTTCAAAAAGGCTTCTTAAATTCAACAAGGTAATTTTTGAGTAAATCTTTTTTTTTTTTTTAAGATTTATTTTTGTCCTTTTTGCCTTTATTAGATAGGACAGTATTTAGACAGGAAGCAAAGTTGGAGAGAGAGAGAGGGGTAGGGAAACATCCTCAAGCCAGTATTTGAACACAGGACACCCTGACGTGCTACTGACCCATATGTTGATGCGCTAACCACTAGGCTATTGCGCCGACAGAATAAATTCTGAGAGTAATGTTGTGATCCACATCTGTTATCAGTGTTGGGAGCATTACAAGAATAACGCGAGTTACATAATAATATTCATTCATTCCTTTTCTTGTCGGCTTAGTCCCTTTATTAATTCGGGGTTGCCACAGCGGAATGAACCACCAACTTATCCAGCAAGTTTTTTTGCAGCAGATGCTGGTACAACCCTTCCAGCCGCAACCCATCTCTGGGAAACATCCACACACACATTCACACACACACACACTCATACACTATGGACAATTTAGCCTACCCAATTCACCTGTACCACATGTCTTTGGACCTTGGGGGAAACCGCAGCACCCGGAGGAAACCCATGCGAAGGCAGGGAGAACATGCAAACTCCACACAGAAATGTCAACTGAGCCAAGGTTCGGACCTGCGACCCAGCAAGCTTCTTGCTGTGCGGCAACAGCACTACCTACTGCGCCACTGCCTCGCCTACATAATAATATTATTTTTCTAAGTAAAGAGTAAAGTAGCACCATACTTTTCAAAATTAAGTAATAATATTTGAGTTACTTTAAGGTTTAATTAATTCACTTTAAAAAAATTGCTAAAGTATGCAGAATGCAGGAACAGACAGAAAGTAAGATGGCAGAACCTTACATTTCTGCAATGGAAAATTCTCTTTATTTTGAACTCATTGAGTAAAAGACATGAGGATTATTTAAATGGACAGTTATTTTACTTTTAAAAAAGAGAAAAAGTACAAAAGTACTGTAGCAAACACATTGCTTTAAACTGTCATTAATCTCTATATACGGCATGTAGAGCTCTGGGGTCAGGAAGCTCTCTAAAGATAACATTACCCTATATTATTTTTTGTGTGTGTTTTAAGGTAAATGAAGGTTATACAGTGGGTTGTTGTTTGCAGAGCTTCTCTTTTTCTAAAAAAAAAAAAAATCTGCAAGTTCTGAAAAAGATCAAAAATAACTCAAAGTATCTGTAACCTGGGGGTGTGACACTGACAACAAGGTGTGGATCTAAATGCAGGTTTAGTGGCGATGTCAGGTAAGCAGTGGTCAATACAGGGGCAAACAGATGTATAAGGGCAATCCAGAGTCGTAGTCAAAATAACAGGCAGATAGTCACAAGGCAAAACAAGACAAAGAAAAACACATTGTAGTGTCACTAAAACAGTAGACAAGACTCAGCAAAAACTGTGTGTTAGTGTGCTGTATTTATAGTGCAGTAATCAGTGCAAAAACAGCTTCGGCTGTGAGTGTCTAATCAATGGTGACTTGGAGCAGGTGAATGTGTGTGTTGCATGACTGGGATCTTTAGTCCATAAACCGGCAGATTTCTAGTTCATGTAAATGTGAGGGTTTACCAGCGATCTCTAGTTGTTAGATCGCTGGTGATCGTGACAGTAACTTAAAACTTAAAGCTCTCCAAAACACTGTCCGTAGTGAGATTTTTTTTTTGACCAAAACAGTAAATACCATCCATACCATCTAGGATAAAATATAACAGTAACTACTATCCATACCATCCAACAACTTTACTCTATTAAAAATTTTAATAAAAGTCTAACTTTTCAAGGTTAAAAGTTGTTAGAAGAAAGATCAAGTTCCCATAATGCAATTCAAAAGCATAAATGAACAGGGAGAAAAGTAAATAAATAAAAAAATAATGAAAAAAAGAAAAACTGTTAATTTGCAGATATTTTTCAGATACTCAAACTAATGATAAAAATGTAGGCTCAAAATAATAATATATGTCCTTTTTAATCTTCATACTTTGCTCATTCTTACTTTGCTTGTTATTAGTACGTTTTTAGCCTAAAATATTTCCAAAAATATAATAATTACATTATGTATGTTTCAAGTCGTTAAAAAACACAATATTTTTAATTTCCTTCAAAAATATTTGAGAAAATCAATACACAATATGATTAAAAACATTTGTATTTTTGAGCAACTTTTAAAAATAATGTTGAATTAATTGTATTATGCGTAAGTTGCTGAGGCACAGTATTGCCAATAAAAACACTGCAATTAAATCTAACGGAATTAAACAAATAAAATACTTTTCTGATTCTGGAGTACTCGTGGCTAAAACTGCTGTTTTATCTTTAATACCTGATTCTGCACAACTATCCAAATATAATTTAGAAGAGTTGAATACAAACACACTTCCTTATTGTCCAAAACTCATTTGTTAAAGCATGATTTCTGCATTTCACTACCATCCGTTGGGGGGTGTTTTAACATTCTCCAATAACCTCACGTGTGGGTGTTAAGGGGTGTTCACACTGACAGTGATTTGTGGCGACAGAGCAACCTAAACTCTTTTATATTAGGCAGCATGAGCAATACAGACAACTGGCGATGCAACAAAGTAGCAACACTGGCAACAAACCAGTAGGAGTGCAGACAATCATTACAGCTACACATGTAATTCACCTCATGAATACAGTTGGATTTTGCAATCGGGTGCAAATGCCAAGCACAGCAGTTTGGCGACCTCCTCCATTTAAATTAGCATCAGTGTGATCACTGCTTTGATCCTAATGATGTTTGCTAAGATGAATTGCAGTTCCCCCAATAGCTGTAATAGCTGCAGTATCTGAGTGATTCTATAATTGCAGGTACATTTGGTTTCTAAAGATGTCATTATTGCTGTTATTTATTTAAATGATATTTGTGGTTATTATTTATTAACATACTGATTTTCATGGATCACAATATCTGACAAGCCATAATAGTATGTCATAAAATCCTTTTACTGTATCCAACTGAAAATCATGCTTCCCTGCTGTCTAAATTAGTCAGTACAGTATACATATAGTTATATATTATTATATATTTACAGTTGAAGTCAGAATTATTAAGCCCCCTGTATTATTAGCCCCCCTGTTTTTTTCCCGCAATTTCTGTTTAATGGAGAGAGAATATTTTCCACACATTTATAAACATAATAGTTTTAATAACTCATTTCTGATAATTGATTTATTTTATCTTTGCCATGATGACAGTACATAATAAATGTCTTGAAAAATATCTAGTAAAATAGTATTTACTGTCATCATGGCAAAGATAAAATAAGTTATTAGAAATGAATTATATATATATATATATATATATATATATATATATATATATATATTTTTTTTTTTTTTTATTAAAATGTACCAATTATTAAAACCCTTACATACATTTTCTTAATTTGTTTATAATTTTTGTTATTTTTTAAAACTGTTGTATTTGTAATTTATTAATGTACTAATTGTCAGGGATCACAATATCTCACAATGGTAACAGTAGGCCATATAAGCCTTATACACATGTCTAAATATACTGACTAAATGTCTAAACTAGTCAGTATATTTGTTTGTATGAATATATATTTTTTATTTTAGAATGTTTTTATAAATTATGCCAGTTATGTTTTAAAAAGCCCTAAATAATTTCCTAATTTGTTCAATCATAAAATAGTGTTTATCAATTCTGTTACAACAAAGGGGCATAGCCAGGGGGGTTGGAAGTTTCAGAAGACCCACCTCTCACTCACTCACAAAGGAATTTGCAACAGTATCTGGATGCAGCCTTTATGATGCCAGCTGAGATTGCATCGCCCAGAGATGACTGAGTCTGCAGCCAGACCCCTCTCGATTTTTTTTTTCCATACATGAGCCTATTAGTCCTATTTTGACTGCTGTGCCATCGTACATTGTGAAAATAACCGAAATAGTCTTTAAGGAGCAAGTGGAATCCACTGTTGGGTGTTGTGACTTCAGATAATCATTTTTGGCTGATGTGAACAATTATTTTACATGAGTCCAACATCCAGCTGTGCAAGAAAACATACAATCTGATGAAAGAGAAGTCTTCTTTTCCTACTGTATTGTTTTTAGAAAACATTATACAAGTAGCTTTTATTCTAAATATTGGATCTTGTTTTTAAAAGAAATAATGACCAATAAAAAGCTGTGGAGCACCAAAAGCAGCCCATATTAAAATCAATTTGAATACTATTTTGTCTATTGTTGTTACTTGCCAGTTTGCTATTTGCCCATTAAATTATAGTAGGCTACAGTTTTTAATTTAAAACTTTTTTTCTAATGATATATGATGCAATAATTGTATTTAAAAAAAATAAATATTGTTTCACAATTTTTTATTCTACATTTTTAGGAAATATTTTTGGTTCATCAAAGTGTGGTTATGATGACCATCTGACAAGCTAATCCAGCTAAAAATAGTGCTTAAATGTCACTAAAATACAGTATTAAAACCTTATAATTGAATAGAAAATGAGGCGTATAACTGCAAAAAGGTCCATTTTTTGAGAAAAAAGAACCAGGCTGGCTACTGGCCTTCAATATGGTACTTTCCCTTTAAATAGGTGGAATTATCTCCCACATCTAGATAAGATACAGGAAATGATGTCACTTCCCCTCACTGATATCTGAAGCAATGAAAGGTACTGTATGTGTGCTCTTTTTTCATGAAAATTACTACTTTTTTAACATCAAGAGTTATTTGGTCAAAACTGTTACCACAATATCAAAAAGGACATAAGACTTTGTCACTGAACACACAGATGTTTAATAGTATTTTAAACAGTGCCATGTGCTGTTAGCATGTTTGCTAGAAAGTGTCAATTTTGGCTAAAAGGTTCCAAAATGTTGCCATGGTAGAGTAACATTGTTGACAGTGTTTAACAGAGTTGACAGTGGTATAAAATGCTGAAGTAACAAGTTGATTTATTAAATTTGCAAATGTTTTCAATCAAATTGTATCTCAAATTATAGAATCACATGTACTGTAAAGATGTAATGTAGACCTACAGTAGATGCTTCCCTTGTGATGCTACAGTACCTTCTGTCAACTGGCCATGTGGCTTGCAAGGGCTCATGCACAAATCCAAACAGTCATGGTTCATCTCCAATGACGATTCATTTTTATCAAGCTCATTAATTTCCGAGATGAATTTACAGCCATGGACAAAATAGCCAATTAATTGCTCTGCGGAATTCAGTGAGCAGCAAATTGGTTTCTGTATCAGCGCTGAACCTTCAGGAGCGGCAGCACTCCATCCTCTTGACAGGCAGACATTTTGCAGAGTACGCCATTGGATTAGCACTCAGAAGGGAATAGAGATTTAGAGAAGTCGAGTCATAAAGACATCAGTGATGGACAGAGAACTACTGGAGATCTTCTTGTGTAGTTTCGTGTCATTTGTTTTGTTGATTGGTTTGCTGTTGTCATGAACTTTAGCAGATGTAGTAATGGCTACTGTTGTAAGGTCTGTCAAAAGTCTTCCTTTAGTAACATTTAGCTTTAGTTTGTTTGTGTGCAGGAAAAGTGCAGCATCTATTCTTATTTTTCAGTTACACTAAAAAAGTTTAAATACAAGTTATCCACAATGTAGTTGTCCTGACAACATGTTTTTCGTGTTACTTTCAATTAAAACAAGTTAACCCTGCTATTAAGCTTGCTATTTGAAATCGGTTTATTTGTAAGTTGCAGTAACTCATTCTTTACAATGTTTGCACTTGAAATAGTAACCGGGGGTCCGTTCTTCGTACGTGGATTACTCAGTTAGCTGGATTTGGATATTGACGATTTGACACGATCCAGGATCGTTTCGTTCTTCAAAGCTGATCCGAGAGTTGTTGTCATGGCAACAGGTCTGCTAGGTCAAACCTGATCGGGAGCAGGTTCAAATCATATAAACAGGATTAGATCGGCTCAGTTCAAGCAAAGATAATACAGAAAGTATGTACCGAGTTTTGATATTTTCTTACAGTAAAAGTTATATACAATTGGGAAAATAGTAGTTTTTAACTATATATATAAAAGTTATAGTCATTAATAAAATAAATAAAGTTTTACATATTAATAAAACGTATGCAATCTGCACCCTCGAAATGAAAGTACAAAGACTGCCACCTGGTGGTGCAAAGAGAAAACTTATTGATATGAACTTTTTAGATCGCTTTAGTACAAATTGTGTATAATAGAAATGCACAATATGTGACTTTTTTTAAAAGCAATAATATATTTATGCAGTCATAAACATGTTTTGACAGTTAATATGCCGGTGATTTGATGCTTCACAAAAGTTGCAGACGCCTTTACTAATATCAAAATGCTTTTGGAAACAACCAGTTATTCTTTACACCAATTAAAAAACGGCTACTATAATAAAGAAAATCTTTTCTAAATGTAGAACTAAATACATTGATTTGCATTGAAATACATGATGAATACTCTTGTCTTGACAAATGAAAGTGTAAAGCCTGCAGCTCACAACAAATGTGAAGTTACTGCGTGTCATATTTTACAAGCCGTTTACTGCTAATTTGATGTAATTTTGCTCACATGGATAATTGAATATTAATCAGATGATGTCATTACGCTGCTGTGCCGTCAGCCAATCGTTGCATTGCTGATCATGATTTCGAGGATCGATAGATCTGTCCTTAACAACACACGCAGCGATCTCAGATCAGTTCATCCAGACATTCTAATCTGATTCGCGAACTTGTTTGAAGAACCGAATAAGCGAGAGATCAGTTATCAAGATTAAAAGATCCAGGATCTGCCAAATCATCTTAGATCATTTAAGCGAGGTACGAAGAACGGACCCCAAATCTCCCAACATATGAATTAACTGATTTTATACAAATACAAAATCCTATTTATAGTGTACTATTTACTGTAATGTGGAACTATGCGATTTCGAATACAGATTAAGTTTAGTTTAGTTTTGTGTTTTGTTTTGTGTTTTGTTTAATTGTTTTTTGTTTTGTTTTGTGTTTAGTTTGGTGTTTTGTTTAGTTGTTTTTTGTTTTGTTTTGTGTTTAGTTTGGTGTTTTGTTTAGTTGTTTTTGTCTTGTTTTGTTTTGTTTTGTTTTAAAAAATATCACTTAACCATACAGTGGGGAAAATAAGTATTGAACAAGTCATGCTTTTTTCCTGGGAATAATATTTCTGAAGGAGCTGTTGACATGGAATTGAACTAGATTTTGTTAAAAAAAAAAAAAAAAAAAAAAAAAAAAACATTAAAAAATCTGAAAAATTTGTTATGTGGAGTAACAATGAAATGGTCCAAGGAGAAAACACTGGACTACTGAAACATTTATTACTTTATACAAAAGGCTTTTTTGGTGATGGCAAAAAACTTTTCCCCTATGGCATTTCACTGTATAATGCATAACCTAATTTGTAAAGTAATTAGATTTATTTTCTTTGCATATGTGAATTTTTTTGGTTGTTGCCAGCATCCAGTGACAATTTCAGGTCAACAGCACTTTAGAAATATGTTTTCTAGAAAAATGGTGACATGTTCAATACTTATTTTCCCACAGTATACTGTATACAGTACTTTTATATATATCAATGAAAAGCATTTATTTAATGCAAGCTCTTAGCTAACAATCACAGGTTACAATTTTTTTTGTACATGAATATTAATGAATAGTAAGTAAATAAGAACTCATACCCATACTCATAGTTTTCATATTTTCATATTTGAGTGACAGCAGCCCTGTTTATTTATTCACTTATTTATTTTTTATTTGAAAAAATGTATTGCAATAACAACAGGCAGTTACAACAAATACAAATACAAACAGGTAGAAGTATAGTTCAAATAGTACATATATATTTTGCAACAAGAGAAATAAATTTAAAAAAAAGTGTGCACATGAAAACATAATACAAATTAATGCAAAATATTAAATAAAGAGAGTGTTTTAAGCTACCCTGTTCCACTGTATCGCTAAATTATTAGCATTTAAAATGCTTTCATCGACTAAACATAGCCTCAGTGCCATATTACAAGAACTGGAAAAGAAGTTCATTGCTACTAGAGGAGTCTGACTTGTATCAAGCTTTTTTATGAACAGAAACATTGTAACAAATGCAATCAAGAACTTCGTTGAATCATGTCCTCATGTTTTCAGTTCCAGCTGTTTCAATACTGATGAACGCAAGACATTTAAAGGGACTTGAGGGAGAAAAAAGTAAAATCTTCAGTCCAAATTTCCCTGCTTCTCAGCAAGCTCACAGTGTGACGCCCACTTCCCTGCTGATATTAGACCACTAAGTCAGTGTGCTGCATTTCACTCATAAATGCCTGTGGTTGTTTTGGCTGCTATGATATAAGCAATCGGACATAATGGCTGCATTTTGAATGGCGTTCATACCACATAATGCCCCGCGTAAGGCATGTTAGACAGGAAACAAATTATACCAGATATTCATAAAATACACCAATAAGTTCTGTTTTCCTCTGCTAATTCTCTCCCTTTTTTGCCTATTCTCCCAGGTCACTAAAATGGTCAAGACGGTGACGACACGAACAGTTCGGCAGGTGCCATTGGGTCCTGATGGCCTTCCTGTTCCAGAAGGATCGTCTCCACTGGGAAGCTACACTGACTCTATTGATCGTCGCTACATGAAGAACGGCGAGCGCTTCATCACACCCCAGGCCACCTCCACACTTACGCGCTCATACAATAATTACAGTGACTCCTACAACGACACCCCAGACACTCAGTTCCGCCATTACACTCTTCACGATGGATATGGAGACATGCCTGACAATTATGGAAGTCTCTCTCGTGGGGTCAATTACAGGCCCTATCGGCCCTACATGCCCACAGGTGGATACCGCCCGGAGAACAGCTACACCCTTCCTATCCGCAAGGATGACTACGGCCACGTGGCACAGCCTCAAGTCCCAATGGGAAGTAGCACTGTTGATCTCAATCGTTCTCAGCCGGAGCGCTTCCAGCCTGAACCCTATGGCCTGGAGGATGACCGCCGCAGTCTTGGGCCTGAAGATGAAGAGCCATACGACCTGGAGCCGGATTATTCTACTGCTAACCGGCGCACATTGCCCGGACGCACCATTCGAGAGCCACTGCGTAACGGCCCCCGTGTCAGGTGAGAATCAGGAGGCTGATTTGGTTTGTTTGCTTGTGCTGCAACTGGCTTTTGTCCATGATTGTGAGCAGCTTTGAGGTGATTGCCTATTGAAGGGATTTGAATTCTCATGCTCTTGGGAAGCACATGCTGTAGATGCTGGAACATAATTAGAGGTATTGCTCAGCCGAGGGAGCGTTCGTTTATTAATTTTTTCATTCATTCGGTTTGCATTTCATTCATTCGGTTTGCAAAGATATAGAGGAACATTGATGAATAACATTATTTTGTTATTTTGCTGTGTACATTTATTCGGTGCATAATTAAAATGCACAGTATCTTCGAATATTAATGCTATTTTAATATTAATATTATTAATATTAGACTAAATTATAAATACAACTTTTTTTTAATCTTGTTTTTTCTTGTTTTGGTCTTGTTTTGTTTCGGTCTAGTTTTGATCTTGTTTTTTGTTTTAGTCTCATTTTGTTTTGTTTTGTTTTGTCATGTTTGTTTTGTTCTTTTTGTCTTTTTATCTTGCTTTTTTTGTTTTGTCTTGTTTTGATCATGTTTTTTTTGTCATGTTTTTGTTTTTTTTTATCTTGTTTTTTCGTCTTGTTTTGTGTTGTTTTGATCTAGTTTTTGTTTTCTTGTTTTGATCTTGGTTTTTTATCATGTTTTCGTCATTTTTTTGTGTTTTTTTGGTCTTTGTTTTGATCTTGTTTTTTCATCTTGTTTTGTTTTGTCTTGTTTTGATCTTGGTTTTTTTATCATGTTTTTGTCATTTTTGTGTGTGTGTGTTTTTGGTCTTTGTTTTGATCTTGTTTTTTTTTCATCTTGTTTTGTTTTGTCTTGTTTTGATCTTGTTTTTTGTTTTGTTTTCGTTTTTTGATCTTGTTTTTTTGTTTGTTTTGTTTTGGTTGTGTTTTGTTTTGTCGTGTTTTGTTGTCATGTTATTGTTTTGTTTTATCTTTGTTTTGTTGTTGTTTTTTGGTATTTTTATCTTGTTTTTTGTTTTGTCTTGTTTTGTTTTTTGTCTTGTCTTCTTTTGGTCCTGTTTTTTGTTTTTTCATGTTTTGTTTTTTGTGTTTGTTTGTTTGTTTTGTTTTTTGCCTTTTGTCTTGGTGTTGTTGTTTTTTCAGTTTTGTTTTGTTTTGTTGGATGGATGGATGGATGGATGGATGGATGGATGGATGGATGGATGAAAAAATCTTATTAGCATGTGTTTGTGTTGGAGTTTTGTGACATTCTCTTTTCACTTTGAATTTGTTACTGGAAGCTATTTTCTGCCAATTTTAAATAAACTATTTAACATATACAAGTAAAAAATGAAAAAAAGAAACGAAAACAAATTTAGCAGTTTCATAATAAAAAAACCTTATTGAAATTTGAGAATTAAACAAAATTAATTTTCTATTATGAAATTGTTTGTCTGGTTTATAGCTTCTTGTTCATAATTTACATGATTTAAAATGGATAGAAAATGCCTTTCATGTGTTATGACAATTTAACTTAAAAAAAATTAAGGTTTGCACAGAAAATGCAAAGTGACAGCTGACATACAGCAGAGAAAAACATATTCTAAAGAGCTGTTTTTCTTGACAAGCAATTTCTTTCTTTATTGTCAGATGAAGTACATTTTCTTTAGGGAGGAAAGCAGTGAGATATTGTTATCGTAAAACATATTTCTCGTGTCCAGTCAGCATCAGAGCTCTCCTCATTATGAGAATCTGCAGCAGTTATAACATGGATTGCCTGTTGCAGGAACACATAGTTTTTGTTATTTTGAATACTACACATGTACAGTATGCAATCAACCTACACAACATTCTTGGTCACTTCCTGTTTTCAGTCCATAACATATTTGTGTCCATCCGTGCCAGAATTAGTGCAATTAGAAATGATGTCACCGCTCTTACTCCGAATGTCAAAGTCTCGCATTTCACATCCATCATTAGCATTCCCATAATAACAGATGCTGACAACAATCTCGATAATGAATGTGTAAAACGCATATGTTAATTAGAGCTTATTGCCTAGCAGTTTTGGAAGCCCGCAATTATAAAACAGCCAAAATTGCGGCGTTTAGCAGAGAAATGGTTGCCAGTGGCGTGTTTGCATGGATTAGACAGTCGGACTCGAGGTCTCCTCTTTATCTGTGTTTCTGTATCTCAGCGGAGCTGTTGTTGTCAGGGTGATTTATAGTCTCTGGTGAACAGTGCCAGACAAAGGGGGCGTCTCGTCTCCAGCCGTATCTCTAATGGTTCATCTCTCCTTGGCTGATCCTCCCTGCACCTGCCACCAGAGCCGAAGCAGAGCAGCCATAAGGTCATCGTGCAGAAACCTCCCCGGAGGCCACCGGGAACCTCTGTGCTCAGGACAGTTTATATAGGCACACAAAGAGGAAAACATCCCTTTCTTATTGTTCAAGATTGTGCATGACGACTGAAAATCTTTAAAGGGTTAGTTCACCCAAAATTCAAAGTTCTGTAGTTAATTACTCACCCTCATGTTTTGCCAGTTCTCTACAACCTTCATTCACCTTCAGAATGAAGGTCTAGTTTAACTCTGTTTTTATTGATGATAATTAGTCAGAGAAATGCCGTATTAAAATATAAAAAATCATTAAGACATTAATTGCTCAAATGTATCAGCTAAAATGCAATTCGTTTGCACTTTCTTAGTACAATCATAAAGCATCAAAACAATATTTACACTGTAAAAAATAATATTGCTGTCTTAAATTTTTGGGTCACACTTTATTATGAGTTAATAATAATTCTACTTGATTATAAGTAGACTGTTAGAAGTGTGGGTGCTCTGAATCAGGCTCAGGCACGATTTACTTGCCCGGCCCTGGCCCAGTTGGAAGAGGTGTGCCAGAGCGCGGTTCACTTGGGCTTAGGCGCGGTACGCTTGTGTGTGAGTGCAAAACACGCCCGAACCCGAAACTGAAAGCGTGGCTGTTTTATATGGATTTAGCAATCATTCTTACTGTTTAATGAACTGTTGTACTTTATTAAAGACCCAAACCCTCACTGCACGACAGCTGCACCCTCAGCAAACCTCCTAATTCCTGCAGCACGAGAACTTTATGATTGTTTATGAGCGTCAAAAGTGGCTGATCTGTTCGGCAAAATAACGGCTTAAACAATATACCTAAAGAAATGTCCACTGTGGTGAGCATACAGCGCATCATCGATGACATAAGCATGCCCAGGCCTGAATGTAATGTGAGCTAATATGTACTTGCAAAGTTTCCTATAGTCAGTTAAATGTCTGTTGAAGGAGTTAAATGTACAGGAGTCGTCATCTATGGAAAACTGCGATCCAGAGAATTTCCAAATAAGGAACTAAAAATATTGTAAAAAAAGACATAATGGCTTTAATGGTTATTTGATTGCAATTATGCTAATCCCCAAAAACACTTAAGCACCCAAAAAAACTTTCCAAAACTGTACCTGGCAAGATAAATTAAATTTGAGGATAAAGTAAATTCAAAATGAAACGATTCGTTTATTCTAATTTTATTGACCTGACTTTTTATGGGGAATAAAACTCATAACTTAACAATTTAACTCTTTGTAGTCACTTTTTACATATGTAGTTTACTGATGCAAAAAAATTATATAACTTGATATACCCCATGGTTATTTATTTATTTATTTTTACCCTATAGTCGATCATTGTTTTCCAAGTATGATATCTATGAAAACTCGAGAGTCATTGAAAGCACACGTAAACAACCTTTTTAATAAAAAAGAAATGGGAATCAAAACAGTGCCATTAATTTGTATGTTAAAAACATAAAATAAAGATCTACCAGTGCCTGTAATGATGTAACTATAATGAACTTCGCAAACTAACAAGTGTGTTTATGCATTCTGTCCTTTATTTCTTGATCTTGTGGTCTCATACCCTGCTTTTGAGTTGTTTATATGTTCTTGGTTTGCACAGCGTTCTTATTTTAGTTTTTTTTTTAACATTAAAACTTTTTTAATTGAAACCAAACCTGACGAGTTTAAACGCAAATAAATTTACTATTCAAAGTATCTTATCATTTATCAAAACCAAATATTTATTAATTAAAAGTACTGATATGCATATACTATATAGTAAATTATATAGTAAAACATTAGCGAAACCATTAAGCATCAAACATCCAACTTTCAAATGTAAACAGAAAACTAAACATGTTTGTTTGTTTTATAAAACATTTGAACCTCGACAATGCTATAATTTGTATGTTTTGCAGTTCAGCTTGAAGCCAATGCAATAATCGCTTAATTCACGTAAGTTTCTTTAGATGTGGTACACTTTAAAAATGACGTTTGCTGTTTGTTAAAACTACTGTAATTTTTTAAAGGAGCTGAAATAACACAATTCTTTTAAACTTAATTTCTCTTAAGTTTCTTTTGACAATGTAATTGTTTCATGTTCAATTTACTTAAAATTGTAAAAACTAATAAGTTAACTTGATTCATTCATGTTATATCAACACAAATTAATTGTGTGGAAATTTGCATTTTTGACACTGTACTGAAGCATTTTGGGGCATTTTTACGAAGCACTGTGACTTGCGGTATAACAACAAATGCACAAAATTGTTCGCTCTTTGTTTAAACTATTAAAATGAGCTGAAACTACAAAATTCTTGAGTTTTTTGGGAACAACTTAATTGTTTTAAGCTCAATGCACCTAATTTTGTAAGAATTATTGAGTTAACTTAATTCCTTCATGTTCTCCCAACACAAATTCATTAAATGGAATGCATTTTGTATAGTGTACTGGCGCATTTTGGGGCATTTTTACAAAGCACTGTGACTTGCGGCATATCAACAAGTGCAACAGTGATTTGTTTTATTGAGATTTATATTTTTATGTACAAATAATTTCATCAGATGCCGTTTTTGTCAAATGAAGTGAAAGATTTGTGCCGTTTTTTCCTCATTTGCCTCCCGAAACCACAAGTAATTGCTCATTATAATAAGTGAATGGTTATTCAGATGAGTGCTATCTCA